AAAAAAAAAAAGGGGGGGGGGAGAGATAAAACTATTTATTTCAAAAATATTTTTCTGCTGTGCATGGTAGCACATGCCTTTCATTCCAGCACTCCAATGGTAGAGGCAAGTGATCTCTGTGAATATAAGGCCATTCTGGTCTGCTTATATGAACTCCAGGCCGGCCAGGGCAGCATAGTGAGCCCCTGTCTCAAAAAAAAAAAAGTTTCCTATCTTGAAAAACCAGAACAAAACACCTAGTGCTTGGCACCAGAATAAAACGACTACAGGAATATAGTTTGCAGGTATGCAGATCAGTGGTGCAGCACAGAAGGCAGAGGAACAACACTGATAAATGTATAAGAATCGAAATCATTTTGTATCTCAGACAATAATGTTTTGTGAAGGCTAAAAAGATTCAGAATTTAAATGCGCAATAATATATAAGTTGACAGTGGTGGGACATGTGACTTAAAGGTCCTGGTATTTTCCAAGAGCAGGCTAACAATTCCAATTTCTTTGAGTCTTTGACAAAGATATTGTATCTCAACATCTAGGCTGATCTATTAAAATAACACAATTGTGGTACCTAATTTCCAACAAGTGTGTATGGGTGGTTGAAAACAGAATAAGGAAGAAACAAAAACTGGGAGAGAAAAAAATCATATACATCAATAGTAAAAACACATCAAGTAAAATACATTTGAATATTTTATGAATAACCATAACCAGCTACGCATTCAAATCAAAATATAAACATTGCCAGACTGAATAAAATCACCCCTGTACTCCTTGCCTAGCTCTGGCCTGGTATAGCTCCCTAGATAGCAGCATTCCACCAAGGTCTTCCTAAAACTGAGCCTGCATTCCCGATTCAGGCTGTACAAATTGGTTGGTAGATAAACCAGTTAGCCCAACAACTGCTCAATCACGGGGATTCTTTGTAAAAGAAGTAATAAGTTCTCCACATTGTTAAAAACAGCTAAGTCAAGATTATGTTACTTGTAGGCAAAAGCATCTCAATTGATAAAATGGTTGTTGCCAGGTTGATAACATACACTTACAATCCCAATGCTCGAGAAGCAGAGGCAGGAGGACCACCCCAAGTTTGAGGCCACCTTGATACATATAGGGATTTTCAGACCTAGTTAAAACTATATAGTGAGATCCTGTCTCAAAAAAGTAAAAAAAAAAAAAAAAAAAGAAAAGAAAAAAAGATTTGTTAGGCCAGGTGGGTGGCGCATACCTTTAATCCCAGCACTCAGGAGGCAGAGGCAGGTGGCTCTTTGTAAGCTCGAGGCCAGTCTGGTCTAAATAGTGAGGTCTAGGACAGTCATACACAGAGACCCCCAAAAACACGTTTGTTGCATGATAATACATTTAGCACAATCTCTTATTATCTAATATCCTATTAGATCAAAAGTACTATTCAGAGGCTAGAGCCATTCAGCAAGACAATTAGGAAAGAGAGTCAAGCATTGGGTAATGTTTAGATGAATGATGCTTAAGATCCCTTCCAAGCCTAAGATCTTCGAAGCTGTCAGTTTTGTGTGAGTGAGTGTGTGTCAATGACAGAGAAAGACATCTGGTGTCTTCCTCTATTGCTTCCTATCTTGCCCCTTGAGACAGGGTCTCTCACTGAGCCTGATGATTACTGTTTCTTTGCGAGGCTGGTCAGCCAGCAAGCCCATCTTCATGCATGCACAAGTGCCCTTGCCCGCGTGAGCCACCCCCCAGCCTTCCAGTTGTTTTAGTTTTGCTTACCGTATGAACACTTCCTCCATAGTGGTGACAGAGACTCCCAAAGCAGAGATTCCCAGCTCTGTCTGTTTCTGTTCCAAGTCAGTAAATAGAGCTTCAAACCTAGCAGGGAAAAAAGTTTTATTTCTGAAAGACGGAAGGCAAATCATTTATCACCCTGAGCTCTCTATAGCAGAGAAGACATGGGGTCTGCTGTCAAGACATCTGTTCAGATCTCAGCTTTATCACTTAGTTTCATAACTATAGATTGTAAACTTGTAATAGTATTTGCTTTGGAAGGTTCCTATGGGGCTAAATCTAAAATATATCTAGTTCAAAAGTGAGGTTTTGGTATTTCCAAGCCTAGGCCTAAAGAGGAGTGCCTGCCCCCCTCTTTTTCAGTCCCTCTTGAGATGTGTTTTCTTTTCTTTTTTTTTAAGATTTATTTATTTATTATGTATACAGAAAAGGGCGCCAGATCTCATTACGGATGGTTGTGAGCCACCATGTGGGTGCTGGAAATTGAACTCAGGACCTCTGGAAGAGCAGTCGGTGCTCTTAACCCCTGAGCCATCTCTCCAGCCCCAGGATGCGTTTTCTTGGATTCTACCTGCCATGCGACAAGAAGCCCAGGTCATCTGAGATTCACCTGAGGAGCATTGGAAGCTACACTTAGCAGCTCCAGTAAGCACCCTGTTGTTAGCCAGCACCGTTTTCCCAGATGTGAGAAGAAGCCACCCTGGATATTCCAGATCATTCTAAGCCCAGAAAAAAATTAATGTGGAGCATAAAAGCTATCCAGCTCAGTGCATCCAACAGACAGAAACTTCTGGGGCAGGGGTAGGAAAGAGTTATAGACCCTGCCTTTTATGTGCAAGACCCTGAACTGAATCTCCAGTACTCGGGCAGGGAGACACAAAAAACACTAAAATAGTTGCCACTTTAAGCCAGAAATTTTTGAGTTACATTGTTATTCAGTAATACACAACTGATTCAGACTTTGAAACAAAAGCACTATAACTCTGTAAAACCCTCTGGATTCTAGAACACCTGCCATGTTTTGGGGACAAGACAGTGAAGTGAAGGCAAGAGGGGCTTTAAGAGAAGTCCAGACAGAGACTGGAAGGACAGGGAGGAGGTTGTTATTTAGTGGCAGAAGGTTTGGCAACATTTTCAGTTGTAGTTACAGGAAAGACCATATTTGTGTGTAAGTGTGACATGGCACGACATGTTTTGAAGACTGAGTGTGGCTTTAGTCTAAAAAAGGTGTGAAGGCTGGGCGGTGGTGGCGCACACCTTTAATCCCAGCACTCGGGAGGCAGAGTCAGGCGGATCTATGCGAGTTCGAGGCCAGCCTGGGCTACCAAGTGAGTTTCAGGAAAGGCGCAAAGCTACACAGAGAAACCCTGTCTCGAAAAACCAAGAAAAACCCAAAAGAAAAAGGTGTGTTTCATAATTTGAGAGGACACCTACAAAGTGCTTATATTATACCAGCTTGGACACTCTTCTATAGTCAAGGATCTGGCAAATGAAGCTAGCTATTCATCTGTAACAGCCAGTTTTTAGGAAGAAATGATTATTCAAAAGATAGAGTGAACAGCCAGTGGATGAAGTCAAAGGCTGATTAAAACTACTCTTATGGAGCAGAACCATCAATATGCATTCCCTGTTTCAGAAAAAGCAGAAATTTGAGACACATGTCCACTCAGAATTTAGAATCACTGAGGTCTAATGTGTGCTATTTGCCTTTATGTTTGTTTTTGAATGATGTCTCTATGATCACCATTATATGCTCAGCTCATTGGGAGTGTGTGGATCAGATAACCTCTCTATTTCACAAGTCTTCAAGAAGAGCCATAGTCAATGAACCCAAGTTCCACGATAGACATAATTCAGATAATGGGAGCCTGAATCCTATGCTGATCCTGCAACAGGAGAGACTGTATTTTGCATGTGAGCATGTGTGAAGGATGTGGATTTTTGTGGCCATGGTGGACTGTACTAGCATCTTGGTCCATACCTGGGCATGGTCTCCTTAGGAAGTATGAATATCACTTCTTCTCCAATTCTGGACTCCAAGATTGCATCTGGTATGTGATAATAAATCACACTAGAAAGCTTCGTTGTGTCACAGAGAGGTGTTTTTATTAAAGTCATATAATATCCTGCACCTGAAATACCATGTAAAAGACTATTGAAATCATCTTATTCTTTATACTATTCTTCTTAGGCCATATTTAGTTTCCTGTATCTCAGAATAAACATATTTAGGGCAAAGAGAACGAAATCTTACGAGGTCAGTTTAAAACATAATGACCTGGCTTCAGAAGCTCTGCAATGCTTTTCTAGAGTCTTTTCTTCTATTTCAGGAGATGGAACAGTGGCAAATCTAAGTGCTATGCAGTGATAAAGGACTAGAGTAAGGGTGGAATTCTGAACATAAGAATGCTGTGCATTGTCAGGTACTCACCTGGACAACTGGGTTGACAACAGAGTGAGAAGATGTAAGATTAAAGACAGAGAGATAGGCTATGAGGCATCTGTAATAATCCAAGTAGGAGGAGATAGTGATCCAGACCAGAATGCCAGAATGTGGCCAGAAATTTGAGAGAAATGGATAGAACTTAATATATTTTTTGGTTTTGTTTTATTTGTTTTGTTTTGGTTTCTTTTTGAGACAAGGCTTCTCTGTTTAAGAGCCCTGACTGTCCTGGAACTCACTTTGTAGACCAGGCTGGCCTCGAACTCACAGAGATCTGCCTGCCTCTGCCTCTTGAGTGCTAGATTAAAGGTGTGTGCCACCACCACCCAGCTACTATATATATTTTGAAATTAAGACTAACAACATTTGCAGATGGGTCAGACACGGGCTGTGAGAGAAATGGGGACCAGAGAGCCTTTGGCTTTGTTTGTCTCTCTTTTATAGATTAGAATAAAAAAATTCGGGCTGGAGAGAGGGCTCAGAGCTTAAGAGCACTGACTGCTCTTCCAAAGGTCCTGAGTTCAATTCCCAGCAACCACATGGTGGCTCACAACCATCTGTAATGAGATCTGGTGCTCTCTTCTGGCCTGCAGGGATACATGCTGTATACATAATAAATAAATAAATCTTTAAAAAAAATTCTAAGAAAGGATAAACTAACCTGGTGCCTGGATGAAGAAGCAATACATTGACAAACTGAAATATAAACATGGGTCTTCTGATTCTAAGTCTCAAAGATGCTTTTACTTCATTTCTTCCTCATTCTCACAAGATCTTCCACTGGACCAACAGAACAGGAAGTCTAGGGAAGGCTGTGCCTAGCCAGGGTCAGGGCCCTTCACAAGGGCAGTGGAGAGTGGCACTGACCTGTCACAGGACAGACGCTGAACTGGACTCCCACTGCCCACTACTCACCATATTTTTGCTTGAGGAATGGTGGTGACCCACAACACTGCAGCTCCCCCTTGGCCATGATGGCCACGCGGTCCCCCAGCAGGTCAGCTTCATCCATGAAATGGGTGGTCAGTAGGATCATGCGGTCACTCTTCTGCTGCTGAAGAATGTCCCAGATGGCCCTCCTGGAGGTGGAGTCCATGCCCGAGGTAGGTTCGTCCAGAATCAGTACCTGGAAGAGCAGGGGTAAAAAGCCTTTCAACTCTGACAGAACCACATCCCAGGCCCAGGCTGGCCATGTTGCAGGACCCTGTGCAGCTGAAGCTGCAGCTTGGAGGTTGACGAGATGTCCTCACCACCCTGGGTTTGTCCTTGTGGGGAGCCTGAGTTGGCTGCATTACAAAGCCAGGCCCCTGCCCTATACCTTGGAATCAGCTATGAGGGCGATGCCAAGTGAGAGCTTGCGCTTCATCCCCCAACTCAGGAACTTGCACCGCGAGTTCCACTTGTCCTTCAGACCGAGGAGGGGAAGCATCTCTTCTATTTCTTCATGACAGTTCTGGCGAGACAGGCCTTTCAACTGAAAGGCAGGAAATGAGAGGCTATGGAGCAAGTGATACTGGTGGGAGCTGAGATGTCTAATCAACATTTTGCTTGGATACACATAACATATGGACAAGAAAAATATGTAAGAAACATTATTTTCAGGGAAAGGGACAAAGGACGATTTGAACTATTTAAGTGAATAAATAAATGTGGGAAATGTAAATGGAATGCACACTTTTCTATCAAAGGGTTGAATGAGACAAAGGAAATCCCATATTTAAAGAAATCTACAAAGATACCATCTGGCAAAAATTCCTCCGAAGAATCAACACCTCCCCCTCCACCACATACCTATTTTCAGACAGGGTCTCATGATGTAGCTCTGGTGGCCAAGAATTCACTATGTACACCAGGCTGGCCTCAAACTCACAGGGCTGCCTCTGCCTCTCGAGTGCTGGGAGCAAAGGCTTGTGCCACCATGCCCAGCAAATCAATACTTTTCTAGGATCAAAAACGTATCCTGCACTTGATTATCAGTGGTGTCTTTTTTAATTAGCCAACTATATAAGAATGTGAGGCCAGGTGGGCAGTGGTGGCACACGCCTTTAATCCCAGCACTCGGAATGCAGAGGCAGGTGGATCTCTGTGAGTTTGAGGTCAGCCTGATCTACAGAGTGAGTTCCAGGAAAGGCTCCAAAGCTACACAGAGGAACCCTGTCACAAAACAAAACAAAACAAAACAAAACAAAACAAAACAAAATGAATGTGAGGCCAGCTTCTGACCACTCAGGCTGAGACAGAGCACCTCTGCTGTGTATGTTTGCTTACTTGGTTTGACATGGCTACCTACCCTTCTATGAAATCAAAACTATTTGCCTTGTTGAAATACTTTGGGTTGTGTGGTAATGGCCTTGGGCCCGCAGATCCATTTACAGCAGTAAATGACTTAAAAATAAATACATCAGCATATAAAAAAAGACACATTATAAGCCAGTTGGTGGTGGTGCACACCTTTAATTCCAGAGCTTGGGAGACACAGGCAGGCAAATCTCTGAGTTCAAGGCCAGCCTGGTCTGATCAAGTTCCAGGACAGCCAGAGCTACACAGAGAAACCCTGTCTTAAAACAAACAAAACTCCAAAAACAAACAAACAAAAAACCCACATTATGACTAAGTAGGATTTTTTTTTTAAGATTTATTTATTTATTATGTATACAGCATGTATGACCAAAAGAGGGCACCAGACCTTATTACAGATGGTTGTGAGCCACCATGTGGTTGCTGGGAATTGAACTCAGGACCTCTGGAAGAGCAGTC